GTGTCGGGCAGTAGCATTAGTTCCGCCCAACACTTGGGAGAGAGATTAGAGAGCGGCCAATAGACCGATCTAAATATACCAAATACAAACGAGGGGGTTCTGCCGTGGTCCCCGCGGGCGTGCAGCGCGGTCCACCAGCACCCTGTGAGGCGGCCACCAGCACCCTGTGGCCTGTGGGGCGGGCGGCTGGCAGCGGCGGGGTAGGCCGCCCGCACCGGCTCGGAGCGCGACGGGCACGCCCGCCCCGCCCGCCTCACAGGGGCCCTGCCGGCGCAGACCAGACCACCTCCGCGGACAGTCGATGTTTGCCGGACGATCCTTCTGCGGGTGCGACGGGGTCCTTCCTTATCAGGGCCCAGCAGATAAAGGAATGGCGGACCCAGCGGCGCGACGGCATTGCAGTCGGCGCTGATAGCCCTGGCGGGACGAGGGAATAGCGGAAGCCGAACGAGACTGGTCAAGGAAAGTCGCACCTCGAGTAAAAGTAAGTCTAAAAGGGATGATGCAAAGCGTTGAATGCATCCTGCTGCGTGCCGCCGCGGACACTTCCATCCATGTGATGTCTGCATCGGTCTCCGCAGGATGAAGTGTGCCGTCCCTTTTACAAGGAAACAATTGTTTACGCCAGGGCTGTAATACCTGGTGGCTGATTGACCCCGTGGACTTATGTAGTTATGCTGTACCGCACGCACGAGTGCGCGCGCGGTTTGCCTATCGTCCCTGTCCACGGCGCCCTACGGGCCGAGCGAGTAAGCCAAGGCTACCTACCCGTGCGTGCGGTACAACATAACAGAAGTGCACAGATTTAATCAGCAACCTGGTATATTGTTTGAATTCACTGAATGCAACCCTTCCAATCTTGAATATCTCTTTTTCGTTTTTGTTTTAGATGAAACTGCAGTGTGACATTTGTTTCACTGATTTTGACCTGGACTTACATCGACCCAAGAACCTGCCCTGCGGACACGCTTTTTGTAAAGAATGCGTGCAGAATCGTTCCTTCGGGACGAGTTGTCCTACTTGCCGAAAAGTAAATGAGTACAAAAAAA